TCGCTGAATTTATGGGGCAACCATGTGTTTTCAGCCACTCTGACAAGTAAAATCGGGCGGGCCACACGAGAGCGCGCATGTCGAAAACGTGTAACAACCGCGGGCCCGCCAACTTTGTCTAACAATACTGTGCGGGCCACGCGCGCGCGTCCCCGATACTGCATGCCAGAGATGCACCATAATATGTGCACATCGAGAGTGCCAGAACTGACCGTTTGGGGTCCACGTTGGCGAACATTGTTGTATTATTTGGATTCCCAATCGCGGGCTTACCGCCAGGACGCCCACTTCGAGTGCGAGCCCTGGTGTAGCCTTCTAGCGGGAGCGCAGAGCATGTCGCGACCAGCCGATCAATTCTTGGAGCCGGTTTATCCACTCGCATATGTCGACCTTCTTATGTATGGATACATATCTGGACATTTACACATAACAGGGGACTCGGCCCAGAGGTCCAGGGGTCACGACCATTATTTCAAATGGGGAGCTCGGTGACCAGCCCCGCCTTTGGGGGTCCCTGAAGCGCCCCGGAGAGCGGTCCGACGGGCGTCACGGCTCCCCAAAACAATCAAGATGGCCTCCACGATTGTCCGATGGCTCACTAGGCCTCTCGAGCGGCCCCCGAGGCGTCCAACACTCTTGAAGACCCGTCCAAGAGGTCCCAACATGGCCCCAATAAACACAAATCGTCCCATTCCCCTTGTAAAACATGCATTTTTAACTTTAATTCCCAACCATCCTGTGGTGTTGGGTCCTCGTTTTGAATAGACAGCGCCCCGCGTCTCCTCCTTCCTTCCTCCTTCCCCTCCTCCCTCCTCCCCCTCCTTGCCTCTGCACACGGCACGCCTCTCGCACGTTTCGTAGCCCCATAGGGAGCTCCACCGAAGGCCCCAGTGGTTGCGCTCGCATGCGTTTCCCCCACCCTGGGCAGCGTTTCGTGGCCCCATAGGGAGCCCCACCGAAGGCCCCAATGGTTGCTCTCGCATGCGTTTCCCCCACCCTGGGCAGCGTTTCGTAGCCCCATAGGGAGCTCCACCGAAGGCCCCAGTGGTTGCTCTCGCATGCGTTTCCCCTACCCTGGGCAGCGTTTCGCGTCCCCCTGATTGGGTAGTCCCCACCGAGGCCCCAGTGGTTTGCTCCTCTTGCTGGCGTGTTCCCCCTACCACCTGGCAGCGTTTACGTATGGCCCAACTATGGAGCTCCACAAGCGAAAGGTCCCCTGAGTGTGGTTGATCACTCAGCATACGTTTACAACACTACGATTTGTGAATAAGTTTACGTAGGCCCACTAGGGTAGCTCAGCACCGGCAGGCCAAAGTGGATTAGGCATTCCTCCGCATTGGTTCCCGCCCCTGGCACGGTTCGTGGCCCCATTAGCGAGCTCCACCGAAGGCCCAGAGTGGTTGCTCTCGCATGCGTTGTGTCTTCCCCCCACCCTGGGCCAAGCGTTGGGGAGGCCCCATGAGTGGACAGCACCTGCGGGCCAACCCCCCCCCCTTACTCAAAGACCTGGTTCGCCATCCCCCCCAAGCCCCCGCTACCTCCTCCCGTCTCAATTGGGAGGCTCTCGCAGAAGTGGTCTCGCAGAAGTGGTCGAGGCGCTCCCCACGCAGAATTCGTCGAGACGCTCCCGCAGAATCAGCCATTCCATCGCGGCGGCGCGCTTTTGCTCAAAGCAGCCTGGCAGAGGCTTTGGTTTCTCCCGCGCTCGGCGACTTTCGCTTCAGTCGTAGGCGCCGCCAGGGAGAAGCACGGGTCGGAGGCGGAAGGGGGTGCGATACGAGGCGCACGAGCG